CCTAGTGGTTTTTACATGGAAAATGTTTGTATTTGTAATTGAATGTTGAGATCATTTAACATAATCGACTGGCGGTTGGATTTTTTGATTTTAACATTAAATGATATCATGCTGTAGTATTAAGATATGTATTAGCTCCAGGTGCCAGTAGCACACTGACTCATTGGGAAGCTTTTGATATTAATAAGAGAAAAAGGAATCTTTTTTTGGTTTTTTTTTTGTATTGTCACTTGTGTAGGTATATGAAAACGTTGGGTATACGGTGATAGCTGTTTATTGTTCTCAAAAGGCGGTCATTCAGTGATGATTCTTAAGATGTAATAAAATGCGGAAGAAAGAGGTTTGAAAAAACCAAATAGTTGATCACAGGTTGGAACATCTACTTACACATGCACACACCTACACACACGGATACATAGACAAGCATAAGAACTTAAAAATGCTACCAGTTTCGCTAAACTGCAGCTACAACTACTGTTATTTCATCAATTCCTGCTATGAAGGGGAAGGAAAAAAGTTGATAAAATATCAAGTTCTGCATTTAAAAATTCTATATGCTGGTGGATTCCGTCTTTTCCGAGTATTTGTTTTTCGTCTTTTTAAACTCATCTTCCAGACTAAACGGTGCTGTCAGTTTCTTCAGTGACGTCCGTGTCGTTTGTAGGCAGTTGTTGTTCAGTTTCTAGATCGCCAGTAGCTGGTTCCATTAACAGTGTTGTGCCTACCGTCGTTGGTTCTGCTGTCGTAGTAATTGATTCATTTTTGCACACTTCACTGCATGGCTTTATATTCTTCAGTTTCAATATTGCTTTCACGTCTTCTTCACGTTTCTTCAGTCTGTAATACATAAATTTCGGTCAATCTTTTTTGGCTTATTACGCAGAATTTTTGAATATTACACATTAATTTTGTTTTTTTGACTACCTGAACCAATGTTTTTTGCCAGTAGTACCAAAGTTTCTTTCAGGTTTTATTTCATATTCAAAGAAAAATGTATAATCGTAGTTGGTCAGAGTCCAAGCACGCAATGAGTAACATTTTTCGGTTTCCAGTGTCAAACCATCGCCACTGAACGATTTGGAAGTACATTCACCGTCACCAGTCGTTCGGCATCCATAACTTCGAAATCTCAATGTGTTGAATATTTAACATTTTGCTGTGATAAAACTGCTGACGAAGGAAAAATAGTTCTTAATATTTTCGATTAACAACTGAAATTGGTAGCTCAAATTTTTTTTTTTGGTAAAATTTCGTATTCAATCGCTGCAGATACTCGAATGACAGCATTAAAATTGTTTCAAATTTAAGTTTTCTGAAAAAGAGAAAAAATTTAAATGCTTCTGAAATTGCTGTTGATCTGCAATGTTATTTTGATGTTCTTATAAAAAATTAAACAAATTTTATCGATTTATTGCTTGAAATTTTTTTTTCTGCAATCAATGCTTTTATATAAGCTGTTGACAAGAAGTTGTTTTTACTGTTGGCTGATATAAACAGTAAAAACGATGTATCAAATTATTTGCAACAAATCTGCTAAACTGTCTGCTTGAAATTTTGATGCCTAATGGACTTTGTACTTGCGCATCTGGTCAAATAACTGTATTTACAGATGACGATGAGATTATCAATGGTTTGCACAAGTCATCTGGTTAAAATTGAGGATTAAAGATCAGTTATTAAAAATAATAAGTCAAGTTTGCCGTTTAAGAATTATTGACAGAGGAAGTAGTTAATTCGTCTGCCAGATTTCTTTCTTTTTTTTTCCCCTCCCCTCCCTCCCCCCCCAACCGTTAAAAGTTTAAGCACCAAAAGACGATCTTAGCGGAAAAAAGAAAAAGGAAGAAAAGAAGAAATTATTGAACAGATCTTTGTTTTTAATTTGACTTTAGCCGTAAGTGCAGACAACCCATAACAATTAGTCTTTGTTTGTGTTTACATTCAATAGGTTTTGCTGGTTGCTGTAACACTAACAGCAACAGCGACAGCGGCAACTAAGACAAGAACAATATGGAGATAGCAACAGGAATAATAATGATGACGCTGACAACGGTGAAGGCGATGGTTGGCAATATCAGTGATAATTCAGTAGTCACCTCAGCTTAATTAGAAAACGTATATATATTTTTTTACTTATTCATATGCTGGGTGCCATCAAAAACCATTTACATTATTGTTCAAAATTATACCCGAAAAACGTGTAAACTTCCTTCCTTCTTCCTATTCCCATTTAGCAAATATGGTCTTTTTTTCCAAAAAAAATTTACAGCAATTGGTGCATTAATGAAGAGTAAAAGTCTGCTTAGGACAAAAAAAGACCACTTTTGTTTATCATCTTATTGCGGTAAAAAATATAAACATAAGTTAAAATAATCTTTTATAGATAAAAAAAAAAATTTGCAAAATTTGAAAGTTGTTACAAGCAACAAAAAAGAGAGAACAGAAAAACATCATATATATCCTTTTTTTAAAACAGGGTGTCCAAATATAGTAACAAAATCAACAAGCAATTGTTGAGCAGTAACCGACGCACAAAAAAGAGCTTGAATTTTGGTTGTTACGAAATAAAACAGGAAACAAGGCATTATTTAGACGGTAAATACAATGAGTAAATCAGAAATGTTAAGACAGGAGAAAAAAGGTAAAGAAAAAAAAATGAAACATACCGAGTTCGAGATCCTTCAATTTGTAAATGGTATTCCAAACACATTGTATAATTCATTGGTACATCTTTTGTCTGTATTAATATACGACTATCACTCTCATAAAATGCCAGACTACTGTTATACTGTATGAATGACGAAGTAAGTGCAGCTGATAGATGAAGATTGTTGTTGGACAAATAAAATAATAACGTTATAATGATGGTAATAGTTGTTGGAATAACTGAAGACATCGCTGATCTCCCTATGTGTTCGATGAAGATGATGATTGTACACTAAAAATAGACAACAAATTGTTTCAATGTTTGAAGAGCTTAACCAACAACCAATACGCAAACCATCTGGTCGTCGTCAATGTTACGAGATTATCTGTATACGTTACTTAACTTTGCTCTGCAGTTGCTGGTCCTTGTCGCTGTGCTGTTGTATGTATCCGGTGCCTCTGCACAACTGCAAAATTGCCATTTTTCGCTCATCTCCTTTAACCCCTTTCTTCTTTTCTCCCCCTCCCTCCTCTTTTCCTCATCTTTCAAATAGCATATACTTTGTTATTGGTAATCGTGAATCGCTTTCTTCAACTTCTTTTACTATATATTTTATTTTTTACTATTTTTAGGTATTTAACGAAAAACTGTCTTGAAAAGTAATAAATTTTTTTGGAGTTGTTGACCTATTAGTAAATTCGTTTTGTACGTTCATACAGTTAGACAACTGTTGTGCTAAAAATTTCCTGCACTAAGTTTTTATTAAAATTAAAACTATTTTTTCTCAAAGGATCAACTGTATTTTGGATAAAAAAAAAAGAAAGAAAAAAAGGAAGAAAAAAATTTCACCATAAAACTAAAAATGTCATGGCAGAAGAAATACATTCTGAGCTATTGGCATCTTTTAAAAGCACTACCGACACAATATTTTGTCGATGGATTAATGGTTTAATCATAGCATCGATCTGATGATACCTTAACGTAACAATTGCCGCCTATAATTTGGACATAGGTCAGATGGTGGTTGTACGTCGTAAAAAAAAAGGAAAAAAAAACAAAAGAAAGAAAAGAACAGTGGCCTGGAAGACAGACCCGTTGTATTTTGTCTATTTTATATTTGCAGTTATTATAGTTTTAACTGCAGAAGAAAAAAAAAAGAAATCTGCTAAAAGATGAGGCTAAATTTTTTTATTTCCGTATTTAACAGCTTTAGAAAAGCTCATCGCTTCTCACATTCTTTATAGGTTTACAACAGTTGTACAGTTGTGAAAAGAGAAAGATTATCAAAAAGGTGCTATAAATTTTCGCACTAAACAGAATTATTAAACCAGCTCTTTTTTATTCATCCATTTGTCTGCCATTTTTGTGAACAAAACTTCATGATTTCTTCTGCATCTAATTTTGATATCTGAAATTTGTTAACTGCTATTGGTCGAATAAGCTGAATATTTGTTTCAAATAAATCGGTATCCTAGTTTCTATAACCAAATTTAATTGACAAACGTTTTTGCTCTCCTCCTTCCTTCTTCATTTCCAAAAAGTGTTATAGTAGAGTTGAGAAAAGAATTGAATATCCTCTCTTCTACTCACCTGTATCAAAACCACAATCCAAGCAAATGATATTTTGTAAAAAACATATACTTTTTTCTGTCATAATTATTGACTTAGTACTTTGACAAACTTTTTTACTTCCATTTGCTCCACCTCCAAACAGATTTAACAACAACATTCCTAGTCTACAAAAAAAAAGTCTTTAATGAACAACAGTTTTTACAGACTGACAACCATACCGGAATAATTTCTTCCTCAAACTATATATCGTCTATTCGTGTTGCAGTAAATACGGAAAACTGTTAAAATGATGAGAACTTGATGACTGTTACAATCAGATAAAGATCAAAAAACTTTTGTGTTGGTACAACTGCTGAGATAGAAGAAAGAAAGAAACAGATTGAAGCCCATTAACAACGAACAATGATCGAAATCGGGTAGCCTATGAGGTGGTACAAACTGATGATAAAAAAGTGCAAATAAGTAAAATAAGTTTGTGAGAAATTCGAGATGAATAAATCACGGGTAATAGTTTAAAATTGTACAGTGCAAAAACAGTAAAATCTAACTGCAGTTACATAGAAACAATGTTTTTTTTTTTAAATTTTTAAAATTAGAGTAATATAAAACACTTATTAAATTTATCATCCACTAATACAATGAACCACTTTTTACATGAAAATTAAGCTATTTTCATTATCTGACGCACTGCTAAGACAGCAACTAATCTAAAAAAATTAGTAACACTAACTGTTAACTGTTATAGAAATGTTTTTCTGAATACTTATTTTTAACAAAACCGGTGTAATCATGAAATAGTTTATTTGACACTCTTTGTATAGCAGTATTAATGATTGCAATAACAGTGATTACAATTATAACAGTTAGTGTATTATTTACAACAAAAGTGCAATAATTAATAATAATAATAATAATAATAATAATAATAA